AAAAATGATAGATGTACCACGTATCTATTTAAAAATTCAAATAGGATATTGTTGTGGTTTGTGTCTAGATGTCCCCCAAAGCCTCATGTCGGTGGGGCTTTTCAGAGGTGGCTGGCCTAGGCTGTGTGATACTGCGATTAAGGGTGTGTGGTACTAAATAAGTTGCTGGATTGGACTTAGCACAATTCTGGGTGCAGATAATGGAAGTCCCACACTGGGTGTGAGTGGTACCAATGAACAGGCTTATAGCCTAGGTGGAATGAAGAGGGAAGGCAGGCTGCTGCTGCTTGCTGCTCACTGCCTTCTGCTTGCCCTGCCATGGACTTTCTCCTCTGCGATGCCCTCTGCGATGCCACCCTGCCTTGGAACCAACCAACTAAGGACTGAAACCCCTACAAACTGTGAGCTAAATAAACCTTCCCTCCTTTAATTTTGGGTATTGGGTATTTTCAGCAATGAGAAAAGTAACTAAGATTTGAAAGATGACAAATAAACATTTTTTCCTTTATACTGCCCCATTACTTAAAGAGAGCCACTGTTAACATGTAATTTTTCACATCTTTCCAGAGTTTTCCACTCACTCAAACATTGAAAATGTTTCAATATATTTTTGTATTTGTTGAACACTATTATGAACCTTGCTTTTCATACTCATTATATATTTAATGCTCTATTTTGACATGTCTTATTTCAATACATACAGGGTTGCTTTATTCTTTTTAATAGCTGCATAGTATTCTTTTCATAGTTGTACTTTAAACATCAGCTATATATTGATGATATTCAAGTTATATCTAAATTTTTAAAAAGTTACAGTGTTGTAGTGAAACTTCTTTATTCATATACTTTTTACACTTGTGCAAATATATATTTAGAATCAATTACTAGGAGTTGCCAAGTTAAGGTGTATGTGCATAAAAATTTTTTTATAGCTATTACTGAATGCTCTCCATAGAGGTTTTTATATTTGACCAACAACTTACAAAAAGGATTATTTATTTCCCCATATCCTCATTTACTCTGGTTTTATGAAATTTTTAAGTCTTGCCAATTGATATGTTTAAAAAAAGATATCTTTTTTGTTTCAATTGCATTTCTTCCCATAAATGTTCCCATTTCAACTTTTTAACAAAAAGAATGCAATACACATTGTTTAGAGTTACGGGTGACTACAGAGAAGAGGATTTGGATTCAGCAACACATTGTGGATAGAAATGGCCCTGAAACTAATCGATCCTACTCTCCAGATAGTATCATGAACCAGGCGCCTTTGGAGAAAGTCCAGCAAGGCAGACCAGAGCAGCTTCACTTACAGAGGGATGTGCTTTCGAGGAGACCGAGACCGTGGCGTCTGGGTCCAGGCACAATCGTGACTGCAGCCCTGGCTCGGCCCATCCACAAGGACGCTGACTGCTTGGGTGTCACTGAGGGCCAGAGAGCTCTGCGGCCCCTGCCCTGGTACCGGAACCGCACAAGCCAGGCCCCTCTGATGCACGTGCTCCTGGGTGCCTTTGCTCCTGCTTTCTGGGGCCTGGCAGGGCTAACAGCTGTTCAGAGGGTAAGGAAGATGTGGACTGATCTTCAGCCCCTTTCCGCCTGCCTCAGGCCCCTCAAGAGAAGCAGCCTAGTGAGTGTCAGGCAGGCCCAGGATGAGCAGGGCGGGGACAGGACTGGGAGGGCAGACCGTGCATCTCTGATCCGAGCACAGGGGTCCGGCTGCTCTCCACACCCCTCAGCCGTCACTGGAGGTCTCAGGGCTTCCTTCCACGTGACCGAGTGGCAGACACTGACCCCTGCCCACCTGCCTCCTGCCAGCCCTCCTGGGGTCTCAGACAGCACCCGCCAGGCTGCCAGGGGACAGGTGTGATGGGTTCTCTCAGCAGCCTCTTCCTCCCCTGAGGCCTCTACGTGGGCCTGTGGGAAAGGTTGTGTAACAGATAAGGCTCGGATAAACAGGACACACATGTGTAAATACCGAATTGTTTCTCTAGTGTGAGAAACTGAAAGTGTAAATAGGACTAAAAGGTATAATAGGTAATGTGAAATAGGAAGAAATGGGGCAACGGGGAGGGGCAAGTAGGAGGGGTGGGGGAAAGGAAAGAAGGGAATGGAATTAATATGAGAAAATGAAATAAAAGAAACAAAGACTCTGTAAATAGGGAGGGATGGAGGGGCTGAAGGGAGGGCAAGGGAAGGAGAAAAAAATAAGAACCAAGAGAGAGTATGTAAAGGTGTGTATCTCCAATGATGAATGTCATTATATTGTACACCTAAAATGTACCAGTGAAAGGATTAAAAAAAAACAGATAAGGCTCAGGTTTATGAATCTGATACATTGGGTGTGAATCTCAGCTCAATCAACTGATTGCTGTGTAGATTACAGAGAGCTACACTACCTCTCTGTCCTTCAAAAGGTGACTGACATTGCTACAACTGGCCCAAGTGAGCCTCCAGTTATCCCAACTTGGAAGACCCACATTCCACTTTCAGATCTAGCTACAGTGAACTAGCAGCCCCAAGATGCATCTGGAATCAGCTGTTTTCCATTTTGCTTGACCTACTTTCCGTTACTTGCACTTTATCCAAAGCCTTGCCTGTTAGTAGCAGGGCAGGCAGAGGGGACTGGGGACAGTTGTGGAGCTGTCCACACTGCAGGCTAGGCTGTGACGGGATCGCTGCACTCTGAAGGAGTTTGGGGGTGGTTGTGTTCAGATGTGAGAATCGAGTGTGGGAAAGCCCTCTGCTCACTGGGAAGGATGGAGGAGAAAGAGACTGAGTTCGAGGACTTCTCGCTTCTCTAGGATCTAAGACAGCATTTAAACCCCAGGTGTTAATTTGCATCTGTTCAGTGAAGGAGACAGGCGGAGATCAGCAGTGCATCACTGTGATTCCCACCACATTTCATTCCTCGAGGGGAGACAGTTTATTCCTGTGGGATCTCCAGACTGGGGCCTCAGATCCACTCCCAGAGGCAGCAGTGACAAAGACATCTAGGCCGGTTACATAACCTCATATTCGGAGGGTTGTGTAATCTGGGAGTGTGACTTGCTGGACGGCTTGAGAGAGAGCAGGTTCAATACCATGCAAGGCTAAGGAGAGCACGGCCCTGGCGTCACTCACAGCTTACAGGAAGCAGAGCAGGCAGAGAAGTGACATGGGGATAAACACGCTGTGTAGCTCCTGGAGGCAGATCCTTCTGGGAGAACACTGGCCTGGGTTTTGCAAAAAGATGGAAATAGGAGGCTGTTCCAGACACAGAGACTGAAGAGATGCAAAACCCCAAAGCAAGGCGTAAACTTGGATCACATCCTTGTTCAAAGAGCAAAGGAGACATAGCCACAAAGACATGGGGGACAACAGAGACACTGAAGGTGGAACTGATCGTTAGGGGAAATGGGATGACTGCTGCCTTCCTAGGTGTGGTTGATAACACCAGTGCGGGTGGCAGGAGATGCCAGCTGAAGTAATCAGGGGCAAAACATCTGATGTGTTCAGCTGTTTTTCCAGGAGAGAGAGTGAGAGACAGAGAGAGAGAGAGTGGAATAGAGAGAGACAGAGATAAAGAGAAACAGAGAGAGACAAGCAGAGAGAGACAGAAAGAGACTGAGAGACAGAGACACAGAGAGAGGCGGGCAGAGAGAGAGAGATAGGAAGAGAGAGAGACAGAGACAGAGAGAGACAGAGAGAGACAGAAAGAGACAGAGAAAGAGACTGAGAGACAGGCAGAGACACACAGAGACAGGCAGAGAGAGAGATAGGAAGAGAGAGACAGAGAGAGAGAGACAGAGAGAGAGAGACAGAGAGAGAGAGAGAGAGAGGTTTGCTGAATCTAGGTGGAGGTTTGCTCCAGGCTGAATCTAGGTGGAGCGCGTGTTCCATGTGCTATATTTTCCAACTTTTCAGGTATAAAGCTTGCAAAGTGATAAGCAAGGGGAAAGGAGAGCTGATGGATCCAGGGTCTTTGGTGTTGCTTGGGCAGCAACATACCTTCATCAGGAGCAAGCTTCTTCCCTCAGGGAAGGGAAGGAGTCTCCAGATATCTCCAGCTGGGGCTCTGAAGTCCCCCAGTTCGCACACCTGTCTGGCCAGGCCTTGCGCTTTCCTTCTGTCTTCATCAGGAACAGAACACAAGGCCAGCTTCTGTCCTTATTTCTCCACCACCACGCAGAAAATGTGATTGTACAAGGATTTAATGTCAAAATGCACATACCTACAATGTATAGCCTTCTTATCATTGCTCAGTTGCTAGAAGTTTTGCTCCCATTTAAGGTCAGTATTCAGAGTTTATCTGAAATGTTTGAGAAATAACTTGAAATTGTGTTGCTCCTATATCTTATATTTGGAGTCCTATAACCCAGTATAATTTAATCCAAAGAAAGAATTCCCCAAGAGCATGCCTTTCACACAAGGAAGAGGCCTTGTGGGTAAGGGGATCGTTCAGCAAAATGCATGAAATGATTTCAAACATTTGGACTTCTTCCTTGGAAAGACAGAGTAAGAACAAACAACTTTGGGTGGATTCATGTGTGCCTGTCACCAGTAGAAATGTCTTAAAAGAGCCACAGGAAGCTTGCTTGTCATATAGCCCATACACCTTACTTGAGGATGGGCAGCCCAAGGGTGGACTCCAGAGGAAACCGCTGCCCAGAGCAACAAGAAAGAATTGCGATTCTCAGGCTTTATTGTCCCACAAGATGTTCACTAAAAGAGAGGATGAGAGGGGATGTGGGAACAAGGGAGTCCTTGCAGACTGTTGGTAGGAATGTAAATTGGTACTGCCATTATGGAAAATAGTACAGAGTCTCCCCTAAACCTAAAAACAGAATTACCACAGGATGCAGAAATTCCACTTCTGGGATGATTTGCCCATCAATCTGAAACTAGGATGTTGAAGACATGTGCATTCCCACGCGTGTCGTACACAGTACCCAACTTGAGAGTCCACAGCAGAAGAATGCAGAAAGAAAATATGGTGGAGGCATACAACGGAATGTGCTTCACCCTTTGAAAAGGAAAGAAATCTGTCATTTGCAGCATAGATCAGGCTGGAGGATATTACACCAAGGGAAATAAACCAGGCACAGAAACACAGCTACCTCTGTCCTCACCCAAGAATGGGATTTAAAGCAACTGAACTCAGAGCAGAGCAGAATGGCAGGATAGGGGCTGGGGAAATGGAGACTAAAGGGTGCGGGCCTTGGATAGGAGGCGAAGTGGGATTGCTTGTTTGGAGATCTGTTGCATAGTGTGATGAACACACCACAAGATGTGTGGCTGAGCACCAGGCTTCAGTGTGGCTGGAGCGTGGATCTCCAATGTTCTCATTGCAAAAGACATCAATGTGTGAAGTGATGGGTGAGTGGGCTTGGTTTGATTGATCATCCCACATAGTATTTAAAGAACAATCACTTCTCTTTGCAATTCATAAATAAATACAGCTATAATGTGTCAACATACAATTTTTTAAAGTGGGAAAACAAAGAGTAGGGTTGATAACTTTTAATTTTTATTAAAGAAAAAAAACCTATCATCTCCCATTACTATCATCTCAAGAACTAAGATAAATACACATTAATCCCAAACCAGTAGAGAGAGCATAAAAACAGCAGCCAACAGGGCGGAGGGCTGCAGGATGCCCAGGTGGGTCAGAGGAATTAGTGTTCGCGTCCCAGTGAAAGTGTGAGCTGAGGAGACAGTCAGCTATGGTCCAGGTGATGGTATAACCCTTCCGGCATCTTCTGAGGGTGCTGGGACTTAATCCTAAGATATTAAAGGTTTACTGTGGACTAGAAAAGAATTATGCACTCTTTTCATGATGCCAAGAACAGCTCTGTGTGGGTCTGTAAATCACTTCATATTTTTAAAGCTGCTGTTTAATAGTTTACTTTATTTAAATCCCACAACAGCAATGAAGTAAATTTGATCATCCCATTTCCCACTTTCCATCTGACACTCAAGGCCCCAAATGAATCCCTGTTGAATCTTTAAAAATCCAGGCATTGTCAATAGTCAATTAGCAAATCGCTCCTGATCTGAACCACCCAATACCTGATCAAGGGAATCCAGATTTTAAAGATCAGGGTTGCTACAAAACTTCTTAAAAGTGTCTAAAGTATCTTCCAACCAAATAAACATTGATTCCAAATAAAATATTCCAGAAGCAGAGAGTGGGCGTGGTAGAAGTTAATTCTGGAGAAGAACACGCCTAAGACAGCCAGGAGCGAACCCATGAGAGAGGGGATCATCCCCGGGCTGTGTCTGAATCTTGCAAGAGCCAGAGCCTGAAGTAGGGTTAGGTTGCTGACACGTTTCTGGGAGGAGGGGAGGGAGATGGGGTGAGGTAATGCAGGGCAGCCGGCTTCATAAGAAGCCTGAGTCACAGCAGGTGACTCAGGAGCTGTTCCCTGGACACCGGGGATTTCTCAGGAGGGGCTGGAGGAGGGACCAACCCTCTCAGAGGTCCACGGAAGGGGCTCCCTCCGACAGCGCCGCTGCCACGGGTGCAGTGTCACCACCGGGAGCTCACGACCCCACCCTTCCCAGCCGCCGCCCCTCGAGTCAGGTTCCACATCCTGAGATGCGGAGTTTTGTCCAAGGTGGAAAATGGAATGATTGGGAGAGGTGAGAGGAGGAGAGGAGGGAGGGGAAAGATAAGTCTTCCGAGGTTTGCGTCCCAAACAATCACGAGCTATCCTTTTCTCTTGAGTACTAAACCACTTTCCGATACTCCGAATTGGTTGTCCCGTTGGTCGGTACGGTGCCAGCCGTGGCGTCTGGTAACACGATAATAATTTTCAGTGCCCAAAGGCGTTTAATGGAGGAATCAGTAAGAAAACATGGAAGCGTTTAACACTCCGTCACACAGTTCAGTTTGATGAGCCATGAGTGACTCACTCAAGTGTTTTGCCAAAGATTGAAGAGGCTGAAATCGCTTCAGTTTCGATTCAAGTTTAAATATGAGTCATCAAGGATATTTCTCTCGTCTTGATTTGGGTCCCTGTGGAAGCTGACTGTAGCAGTGGTGTGTCTGTGAGCTGAGGGAGAGCAGACGCAGAAGGGGAACGAGGGAAGGTGGGATCGGGCTGTGTATTGCTGTGACCACCGGGCAAAGGGCTCTGCTGGCCAAGGGAGACGCTCCCGAGGAGCTGCTGGCCAGGAGCGCGGATCGGAGGTGCTCATAAGCCCATCCTGCCAGTGGGTGGCCGACAGCGGGCCGGGGAGGCTGCAGAACACACAGCCTGCGCCCCGCGTGCACCGTAGGTCAGAGCGAGGGACACAGACCCGGACACCGGAGGCTGGGCCGTGCACAGGGATGGCACCAGCAGGGGGGCGTGCCAGGGGCCGTGTGCGTCCTGCCTTGCCCTGCACCCTCTAGGGTGATCTGACCAACAGACTCCCTCGGTTACCATGGCAGTTTGAATTTCTTTTTTTAAAAAAGCTTGATATTGCTAACCCAGCATTGCTTTCTTTGTAAAGTCAGTGAGTACTTTATTTTAAATCCATTTGGATGCCTTCTAATTCCTCCCAGCGAGTAGATTTCTTCTTGTGAAATTAAACTGAAAGCACAAATTAGCATGAAGGTAGCTGAAATGAGAAAGCTCTGATGCAGAAAAATTGGTGATTTTTTTTTGGGGGGGTTCCTTAAACAGAGACAGTCTTATAAAAAAAAATACTTTTCAGGAGCTCACTAAGTCTTGCCAGTTTTCTGAATTGTAGAGGTGGGAGACTGTTCAATCAGATTGACTAAATTTAACCAGGGAGGGAAGCAGACTTAACAGATGCATCAGAAATAGTCAGAGCAGCACGGGGCTCCGAGCTCAGCCCAGCGGATGGCACCGAATGTCCAAGGCCTCTGGGTGGAGGGTGGGCAGTGACTCCATGTCACATGGAGCACGGAGTGATCCAGTGGGTGCCAATAAAGCATCAGTACTCATTTATGCTACTGCAAATACAATACACAAGTTAGGTTTTTCTAAATAAAGCACTGAAAGAGGCCAGGGACCAAACTGACCTCTCTGATGTGGAAGCCGATGTTAAGCCGGCTCTCCAGAGTACGCAGCTCTGTGCAGCAACAGCTCCTGTGGGTTTTCTCAAACTGGGGTGGGATCCTGGTGAGCTTCTGCTGCATCTTTAAATCCTGTTCTTCATGTGTCACCTCTGTTCCCACACTTAGAAATGAGGACCTTTCCCGGCTCATTGCTGCTTTTAGCTTCCTGTTGCTGTCAACTCGATCACACCTTTGGTATCATTTTGCCTTTCTGGTCTGTGTGCAGTTGCGGGGATCGAACCCAGGGCCCCTGCACAGAGCTGCTGCCCAGCTCCCACCCCTTTTCTCATGAAGTCACTAAGTTGCCCAAACTCCCTTAGGGTGAAAAGAAGACAGGTTCCTGAGAGATTTCCAGGGGATCATGGGCTGACACCGGGACAGACGCTGGGACAGATGTGACACCCTGCTCCTGTACTTCAAGCCTCCAGAACTGAGAAAGAATAAATTTCTGTTTTTATGAGTCACTCAGTTTGTGGTTCTTTGTTATGGCAACTGCAGGAAATTAGCACAGACCCGAACATCAGCCTGTCCCCAGTTTGTGGACAGGGAAGAATGAGGGAAACTCTTCCCCTCCTTCAGTCTGTGCCTGTGTCCTCTGCTTTGTTTGTCTACGGAGCCTCCATCATAATCATCACCACACATATGATTTATTTTTCTTTTTGCCTGTTTCTGTGTCTCCTTCCTTTAGAATGCAAGCCCTGTGAGGGCAGGGATTTTCTATCTGCTGTATCCGGCTGCCTGAAGTGATGCCTGGAACACAGCAGAGGCTCAGTAAATAAAAACAAAGGAAATAGGCAAGTCTTGTGGGACTGCCTAATATAATTTTTCTTTTTGTAAGGGACAAAACTGAGAGGCAGGACAAAGGCCTTTCAGGGAGAGGAGTAAAGGCGTGTGAAGGCAGAGGGTCAGAAGTTCTGGATCCACTTGCAGGATGGCCAAGGGGCAGGCTATAGACTGGACCCCAGGAGCGACTGCCAGGGTGAGAAGACACCAGGGAGTGTGAGCCTGAGGGGGATTGGGCGCTGGGCACACAAGGTCTTGCGCATTGATAAAGAAAGTGGATTTATCAGGAAGCAGTGAAAATCAGTGGGCTATGCAGAGCAGCGATAGAAAATTTTAAAGGAACTGCTTCGGAAGCAGCGGCAGCAATCAATTCAAGAGTCAGACACAGAAAATTAAATACTGTGTGATTCCTCTTAGTGAGAAACTCAAAATGCAAAGCGTCAAATGAAAGAGAGATGCTGGGAAACGGGAGAGCAGGCTTTTGGAGATGGGAAAGGGATCCGAAGGGAGGAGAGGAAGGCGAAGGGTGGAAGGGGATAAAACGATCAAACTGATCAAGACATGACGACGTGTGCACCAATTCCCCAGCACAAATGTAACCATTCTGTACTGAGAACACCGCTGATGGAAGAAAAGAGGTGGCAGGGGAGTGGAGGGAAGTCCGAGAGAGAGGTCAAGGCCTGGGGAAGCTGCTTGGTTCCGAAGCACATGGACCGTGTCCTTGAGGGACAGGCGGGGTGGTGAGAGAGGAAGCCGGAGCAGCTTGGCCTGGCCCCAGGTGGCTCACACAGGGGAAAACATGAGAAGTGGAGCAAGCTGGAGGTGGCAAATGTAAGTCAGGGTCTCAGGTGGACACCGGGGGTGTCCAGTATCAAGTGGGCCGAGGGAGGTCTGCTCAGGAGAGAGGTGAACAGCACTGGACATGTCGCTGGCAGAGCCTTCAGCAAGGATGAAAGTCAGAGAGCTCAGGGACCACCCTGGTGGGGCCTCAGCAGGCAGAGAGGAAGCCCAGGGGTAGGGCTCTGGGGACAGGAAGGAGAGGCAGCCCGAGAGCAGGCTGTACTCCCCTGCAAGACAAACCGAGAGTTTAATGTGTTTTCAGTTCTTCAGAAGGGCTGTTGTCCATGTTAAGTGTTAACATTTCTAATGAGTTTCTACTGTCTGTCTTCTATGAAGCTTATGAAAAATAAACTAACATTGCTGATGTGGACAAAAACAGACTCTACAGTAAAAAAAAAAAAGTCACTATAAGGAGAAACATTAGATTCAGCCCTCCAAAGTAAACACAGGAAACATGGGTGATGGGTACGCCCTCGGACCTAGGGAACAGCTTCCTGTTAGTGGAGGGAATTATAAAAACGAACTTCTGAATGCTTGAAAATGTCTTCTCTCCTGGATGATGGCCAGGGTCTGGGACTGGGGCTACTTGCTTCTTTCCTGACCACCGTGGAAAAAAGTCATTCTTGCCTTTTGATGTCAACTTACCTGGGTCGTTGTGTGGTTCTAAATCCAGGCCATAAAACAACTTTGCTGTTCGGAAAAAACTGTTATGCAAGCGGTTTGTCAGGACGCAGGGGCAGGACGCCAGGACTGGTCCTAGACCGACTCTGAGAGCTGGCTGAACAGAGGACTCAGAGGAGGACAGGAGCCTGAAGAGCAGGTCGGGTTCTCTTGGGCCTAGATCAGCAGCCGCCAGGCCAGGACGGGTCAGAACAGTGGAGACTGGAGACTTCCAGTTATGAAGTTTGTGCAACTTCCCGTCCTATTTTCCTCCAGGACATGGGGTTCGGCCCTGTTTCCCTTCATCCCCGGTTGCTTAAATTCCTCCCCGAAGGCCCATCGGAGGTTTGAGAGCGTCTCCTGCCTCCTTGTTGGCTGATTTACAATAAAGCTCTTTCTTGTGCAAACACTACTGTCACAAGTACTGGCTTCTGCGCACCTCAGGGAGGGAGACCTTGCATGTATCAGCTTTAACAATCATTTGCTGCTGGTTCACAACCTTGAGTTTAATCATAGTGATACACATCAGCAGCCCCATGGATAAAGAAAGTGTGGTAGATACTCAGAATGGAGTATTACACAGCTGTGACAAGGATGAAATCATGTCACCTGCAGGAAAATCAATGGAACTTGAGACCATCATGTCAAGGGAAATAAGTCAGACCCAGAAAGTCAAACATCATGTGGTTTTTCCTATGTGAGAAAATGAAAAATAAAAGAGTAAAGTACAGGACAGATAGTAGGAAACAAAAAGGCAGAGTTTTGGAGATAGGGAAGGGAATGGGGGGAGTGGGGAAGGTGTATGTACTGGGGGGTATGGGGATTGAATCTGACCAAGACAGGTTACGTCAGTGTACCGATTCCCCAGCATGGGCATAATTGCCTTTGTCACCACAGGGTGAGTTCTTCGGGCTGGGTCGGTCTGTTGAGTTTGCAGACTCTGTGCTCTCTCAGGGCTCCATGCACTCACAGCCACAGCGGCCAGGGGACTGGGCAGACACAGCAAGCTGGCCTTGACCCTGCCCAGCGTGGCTGTGGGTCCAGGACTCTCCCTACCCACCTGCCTTGTCTCTCTGCAGCCCGGCAGTCTGAGGACAATGCAGCACAGTCCAGGAGAGGAGGAAGTTGGAGAATCTTCCCAGGCAGAGGAAGTAAGAGAACCGAGACAAAAGAATATGGAAAACTTCCTCCCTGAAACAGAGGGGAGCCAAACCTGCTAGGAGCAGTACAGGACTCGGCCTTGGACCCCTCCCGAGGTTCTTGATCTGCCTCCACTTGGAGCTCCCGTGAGAGGCGTGAGGCTGGGTCCAGGTGGGGTGGTGGCTGGGCTGCCTGACAGTTCTGCCAAATTCGGCGGGGAGAGAGGTGCCTTCCCCGCATCTGCGGAAACCAGCAGGCAACACTCCCTTCTAAGGCGAACACTGCTTTCCAGGGAACCTCTGTTTTATCTCTTATTCGTTGTCTCCTTGTTCCTATTGAAAAGCAAAGTGGACATAACCTTTCTTGGCTTTTGCTTTTTGTTTTGGTGGCACTGGAGATTGAACCCAGGGGACTGGCATGCTGGGCAATCTAGGCAACTGGTGTTGACAGTGGACTACATCCCCAGGCACTCTTTTAATCTTTCATTATGAAAAATTTCAAATAGAACAAAAGGTAGAAAATGTACTGTAATAGATGCCCATGCCCAGCATCATCTTTTGTCAGTTATCACCATTATGCCAGTCCTGTTTCACTTGTCTTTCTCTCCTGCATTTTCTTTTTATTTCTTTTTTTCAGCTGGAGTATTATTTCCACAGTAACATTGCAATACCAACAATGTTATACTAAAGAATTCCTTCATCTCATTTAATACAAAGCCTGTTGTAGAACAGGTATATAATCTTAGTCACTTTCCTTGTTGCTGGGACAAAATAACTGACACTTTAAAGGAGGAAAGATTTACTGGGACTCACAGTTCAGAAGGTCCAGTCCATGCTCCGAAGGCTTAGCCACACAGCCAGCATGGTGGAAGCATCTGGATGGAAGCCAGGAAGCAGAGAGAGGCAAGAACTGCAGAGGGAGAGAGAAACTCCAGCCAGGTCCCACTTCCTACTAGCAATTCGGCTGCAGCACCCCGTAATTCAATCACCTCCCAGAGTGCATGGGGTTCTCGGGTTGTCTACATCCAAACCAGAGCCACTTTTTTAACTCACGAGAAAACTGAGGTTCAACGACAAAAGGGCTGCACTCAAGGTCATAAGCAGTCAGGACAGGCCCTGCAGCTAAACAGGCTGCTCTGCTCAGGGAGCGCACGGTGCTGCCCAGCGTCCCTCTGATGCTGGGGAGAAGGGGGGTCACAGGGCCTCAGATGGGGAGCCAGCTGCTGTGTTTCTCAGCAGGTAAGAGATTGCAGCTGCAGCCCTTTGTTCTCAGTCAGGCTTGTTTAGGTCTTTCCCCAGAATCTGCCCAAGTAGTGTAAACAGAACCCTGGACACCTGCAGCTCAGCCTCTCTGCAGCCAGCCAACATGCTGGGGAAGTTTGAGGCGCGCAGAGAGAATGGAACAGGCCCAGGTTGGCAGTGCTTATGCTATGGGGATGGCTCCATATGGCATCTGCTGCCTCAGAGACTCTCATCTTTTTGATAATAGTATGAAGTCCACATCCAGTACACCATCACTTCGCAGAAGCCCGGTGGAGTGCTGTCAGGGGAAAGGGAACATGTGGAACAGAAGCAAAAGAAGAGCCGTGGGCTACCAAACGTCCTCCAGAGAGGAAGAAGAGATGGTGACCACACTGGGGACCTGCCAGGGACTGCTTCAGGGGTTTCAGACCCAGCCTCCCTCTCAGGGTTCTGCTCCTTTGGATGTTCCATTCTCTGTGTACCTGATGTGGTTCTCTTTTGAACAAAACAGCTGTTCGGAGACTTCTCCCAGACTGAGGATGTTCATCCAAATAGAAAATGAGGGGGTTGGTACATCACGCTGCACTGCACGAGAGAAGGAGGAAGCATGTGGAGCAGGACAAAGGGAAGAGCCCAGGGCTTTGGCCGGGCTCAGAGAAGCCTATGGCTGTGGGGCCCCTCAGCTCTGATGTGTGCTTATGGCAGTTACCCTGAGTCACCAGCTCTGCAGGCCTACAACTGCAAGGCTGTGTTGTTCCTGCTGTTGACATGTGGCAGGAAATGTCAGAACAGAGGAAAAGTGGC